CGCGGTCGCAACCCGAGCCCTCCACTCCCACGCGTCTCCGCCCCCACCCGTTTGCACCTGCACTGGCACCCATACCCTCAACCGTCCAGCACGTAACCACGGCCAGATATTCGAACAGGGTACGAGAGTCTTCTTCCCGACAGTCGAATTTCGTTGCCCAATTTCCAACGGCTTATTAATCCCAACAACTTTCGCGGTTAAAATATCGAACGAACGCTCTTCTCGTCGAGGGGTTCTCGCAACTTTCCGTCTCTCTCCACGGTTCAGTTCCACCACAGGCACCGTGACTGCCTACTTTATCAAAGCGGAGAAGAAGCGCGTCGAATCCCGCCATAAATACAACGCCATAGAATCGAGGCGGAATATTATCGAACTTACTTGATCAGCCATGGCGTAGGTATTGTGGTGGTACGACGTCGAGTGATGATGCTGCGGAACGTTCAACGAAAAGTCCAGACTCTCGTTTCTCTGAAACAGACGAAATATTTGTATCGATTTGCGTGCACCAACGTCGAATTCGTTCGTCAAGTCGTTTAAGAAAGTTTTCCGTTCGGCCGATAACATTTCTCACAACTTATCTCTTACGTTACTATTTCTCACGCTCGTAACCATATTAACGCGATCGGTAGAGGCCGCCATTCTATTTCTACGATCAATCCGCGAGGAGATTCTCGCGAAATATCCGCAATTTGTCAACCCCGTCTCGGTATCCTTTCCGCGACGGGACACGCGCGTCCTTCCTTCCTTCCTTCCTTCCTCCCTTCTATCGGTCAATGGCCTCGACAAGCGTAGCTTCGTCGATTCCATTCGTTCGATGTTTCGCACCGCGAGTAAAAGCACACGAAATCTTCGTGCTTCCGCGTTCCCAACGGTCGCTTCCACTCGTCTCCAATTCGCTGAATTACACGCGACGGAAACGTTACGTCCCATCAAATCGTAAACATCGAGCGAATTGATTTTTACGCTGCACGGGAATTTTTTCTACGGCTGTGAATGCGTGTTCGAACGGACCGACGTTCCGACCAACTCTCTCTGCCCAAGCGATCAAATGTCTACCTATACAGATTTTTACGACCGCATACAACGAAGCCTCGAGGCGTTTCGTTCGTTCGAATAGGCATCCGGCATAAACATGACCCAACCAAGTTTTAGGACCCAAAGTCAAAGTCCTATCGGTGAAACGTCCGACGTAACGCTACGATTCTTCCGCCCCTGCTTACACTCGTCATTGTCATCGTCACCATCGTCTCCTCCACCTGCTCGCTCTTAGGGGACAGCGTTATTCGCGTTTCTACACGGTCATCGACCCGTGCATCTATTTCGACTTTACTCTGTCCGAAATCTCTTTTCCTTCGCCACGCTCTATCATCGATCTAACTTTTCCTACTTTTCTTTCTTTTCCATTACATCTTCCCTTGCTTACGTTTTTTAAACGATTCGACAAAATGTTAAACGATCCTTCCCTATTCTTCGTTCTTTACACCATCTTTCCTCGCCATCTGGAAGACGACTTTCGATTCTTACGGCCTATGTTCTCGTGGGAGGGTCGTGCCACGATTTTCGTTCGAACGAGTCGACCAGATGGCATCGTAACGCGTTTTATATCCCAAAGAAGAAACGAAACTCGATCGTAACTCGATTTAATATCGTGACCAAAATTCCAGACTAGACTCTATACGAAATCGGCAACTGGGGCCGGTAAACGAACATTTGAAACAGAGAGGACCGCACCGATCGAGGAAAGACGTTGTTTCTGTATCGATTCGATCCAACGACGATTATCGAAACGAACGAGTGACACCTACTGAAATTACAATATCGTTCGACGATCGATAACGTTAATGAAGGAGATAGACAGCAAGCAGTGGCAATGAAAGACAGCCGATGGTAGAAAGAGAAAGAAGAAGGTAAGGTGCACGATACGTTACTTTTTCCAGTAGAAGTAACAGCAGGCAGGCAGACAGGCAGGCAAGCAGGCAAGCAAGAAGCGAGCAGGTAGGTAGGTAGGTAGGTAGGTAGGTAGGTAGGTAGGTAGGTAGGTAGGTAGGTAGGTAGGTAGGTAGGTAGGTAGGTAGGTAGGTAGGTAGGTAGGTAGGTAGGTAGGTAGGTAGGTAGGTAGGTAGGTAGGTAGGTAGGTAGGTAGGTAGGTAGGTAGGTAGGTAGGTAGGTAGGTAGGTAGGTAGGTAGGTAGGTAGGTAGGTAGGTAGGTAGGTAGGTAGGTAGGTAGGTAGGTAGGTAGGTAGGTAGGTAGGTAGGTAGGTAGGTAGGTAGGTAGGTAGGTAGGTAGGTAGGTAGGTAGGTAGGTAGGTAGGTAGGTAGGTAGGTAGGTAGGTAGGTAGGTAGGTAGGTAGGTAGGTAGGTAGGTAGGTAGGTAGGTAGGTAGGTAGGTAGGTAGGTAGGTAGGTAGGTAGGTAGGTAGGTAGGTAGGTAGGTAGGTAGGTAGGTAGGAGGTAGGTAGGTAGGTAGGTTGGTTGGTTGGTTTATTGGTAGGTAGATAGATAGGAAGACAGTAACGTAAGAGACACGAACAAGAAAGTTAGATCGGGCCGAAATGAAAACGCCCTCGCGAATCTGTCGATTTCGACAAACGATATTAGTCCGATTAACGACTCTCGTTGGTTTCCTTGTTTCGTTCGTTATTTTATCGTTAGGGAAAAAAATCAAACGACGTATCGAATTTTCGATCCTTTCTGCCTGGAGTAATATTTCGATTTTCCATCTGATCGAATTCGAAAGCTGTTTTTGCAAGTAACAACGCGGAGAATAGCTAAAACCTGGAGAAGAAAAAGGAGGCGAGGAACGGAATGGAGAGAGGGAGGGGAGTTATCTAAAGTAAGAAAACGGAAGAGCAAAGCGAAAGCAAGAGATCCAATAGACGTACGTACACGAACGAGTCTCTTACTCGGCGTATATAACCGATGTTAAACCTGTTCCCCGTTCCAATCCCCTCCCCCCACTCCCGCCATTTGCCCTCCTCATACTCAACATTACTACCATTTGTAATCCGTACCTCCTCGTTTCTTCTAATTTCTCCTGAATAACGTCGTTAAACATCCCCGCTCCCCTCCTTCAACAAACCGAAGAAAATAGTACATTTTCGTATGGCCATAAATTATTTTGGTTATATTTGAATCTCTCTGGCCTAGAATAGATACAGCGAAACGCAAACGAACGTTAATTATAATCTTATTACTGCTGAAAATAGAATTTCACCGGTAAACGAATGGCTATAACGCGCGAAGCGTGCTTTCTCATTGTTGAATCGGACGACTGTTGAATAACTTGAAAATCCCACGATCGGTGTTAATTCTCTGAATATTAGAATCGGCGTCGTTCATAAAGTTGAATCATCGCCCGACAGATGGCGTTCCGAGTTTACCTCGAGCATAGTACGTATTTCGAAAGTAAATACGATCGTTTCCAAAAATAACAAATCTTAGCTTGACGATGTACAAATTTGATTCCAATCCCACGGTTCGACGACGAAATCCAAGAATTTTCGTACGCGAGAAAGGTAACATACCGGTTACCAATATTGAGATCGATGACTTACCGATGAGACGGACCGACTCGTCGTCGGGACGAGATCCAGGTTATCGTATGCACGTGCAACGTGCAGAGCGTGCCACCGCCGGTTAACCACGTTAACGTTATCACGATGAATTCTTCTCTTTTAAAACACAGCCCCTTTTCTGTAAGAGTAACTTCGCTCGGAAGTGAGAAATATTTGTTTAAAAAAAAAAAAGGAAAAAGCTCGACCAAAACGAAAAGATAGAAACGAAACGATTTAATTCGACGATTCTTCGTCACACAACCGTTTCGATGCACACGTCGACACTTGACAAGCAACACGTTCTCACATCACCACGCGTGTTCTCTGTTACGTTGCATTGATATAGAGAAACATGTACACGATGACTTTACCGAAACATAACACGTAACCAAAATACAGATCGCTGCGCAACATACACAAAATATTCGACTCGTGGCGTAACTAGTGACAGCGTGGCAAAACGACGCGCGCTCCTCGCGGCGGCCGGCGCGGGAATGATTGAAGGGAGGTTCATTTTGTGGCACGCTTCGATAGTGGGGATAGATCTTTCGACAGGGGAGCAGACTCGCGCGCCCCCTGCTTGTATATTGCTAAAGGATACAATGCAACGGCACGACACGACACGACACGACACGAGACGATACGACGTCACACGATATACGACCACCCAATTGCGAACATTTTTAGAAGACGAATAACGATGATTCAACGTACGAGAAAATCGTTAAACGGTATAAACGAAGATTTTCATAAATGTACCCAACGACGATGCGAATCTCAAAGAAGCAATTTGTTCGCCCTTTCCTAGATGCCTATTTTTCGATCCCGTTCGTCGATCTTCTCTAACTCTTAACACGCGTTCTATTCGTTGCACACCTTTTATACGTTTCGGGACGTTTTAATAATTATAAATGAACGTGTTCTCGGAGCGTCGCGTGAGATACAACGCATCGTACGATAATCGTATATGTACCGGGATGCGATTCGACTCGATTGGATCAACAATGACGATGAACAAGGAGGCCCTTCTTCTCCAATGAAAACGAATCGTTTGACATTCTGTGTTCGAAATATATGTACTTATATATATATATATATTCGGACGGTTTAAATCACGCGCTTAACCAGATTTCTAAACGGTTACTAGTTAAACATCTTTCTCCTGTTGTGTTTCTAACGCGATGTAGGATTTTATTTCAGAATCACGTTGAATCACGCGACGAATAACATTCGTGGTTTGTGGCCCAGTTAACAAGCTGTGATCGCTACACCGTAGAAGAAAGGGGTCGTCGGTTCGAAATATGGAGAGGGGCCAGCAGAAGGTGGGAGTGGGGTTTCTGTCGAACGGAGGGAGCGGAGGGAAATGGTGTGCAGGATTGAAAGAGGCCGGTGGCGCAACGAATAGAGAAAAGAGGACTCGCGACGTATGACGCGCACGCGGTCAAACGATGACGAAAGGAACCGTGCGCGTGCGGCAGGAACATCAATGTTTCCCTTCTTTTCTTCCAACCAAACGATCAAAGGAATCGTACAGTAACTTTACTTACTCTGTATTCCCAAATATTTTCGAAATGATATATCCTCGATTTTCTATTTCTACGTCCTCTCGCTAAAAAATTCTATCCAACAGCGAAAAGCAAGCAGCGGTATCGAGATTGATCAATGTCACGTTCGGTTTCGATCTAATCCTGTCCCGGTTCGAGAATAGAAAACCGCAGAACGAACACCAGCTGCTAAAAGCTACTCTTCCGCGATTCGATACAACTGATTACAACGTAATTAAGAAGCAACAAAGAGCAAGTAGAATCGGTATTGGACGACGTAACAGCGTGACGGCTTAAACGCGCGTTAAACACGCGTTATCTACCGATACTCGGTTACTCGAATATTCCAAGAAAGTAGGACACGACTGTGT